TCCTGCTCATCGCCTCAGCATATTTTTCCTTCAGTTCAGCAATAACTACAAGGCCGGAAAGAGCGATTCAGACAGCAAGATAATTTCATCAACTCGTCCAACTACTGATTTGAAAACGATATCAACAAAAAATAAAAAATAAAAAAAAATCACATTCAAATTAATGGAAAAGCAGAGAAGAGCCGCAGAAGCAATACTGGAAGGAGTGAGCGCATTGACGGGAGGGTTTGACATCGTGATGACGGCCACACCATCGCTGCCAACGTCAATAAGAACCCGACTGCTCGCCATGCTCGCGAAATTAGGGTTTGAAGCTCCTTGCCCACCTTATGAAAGCTCGCCGGCCGCCAATACCTGTAGGGCTGTCGATAATTCAGCTCGCTGGTTAGCCGGCGATGCAAACAATGGTTTTTAGCAGCCGAATATAGGCAAATTTTTGCCGTTCTTTTCAAAATTAATTAAATAATTACATAATTAGTATTATTCTTTATTATATTGGTTTTCAATGTTGTGGTACGGTCAAAAAAGGAATCAAAATTTTTTTTATGTGAACTCCTGACATAGCTCTATGTGCGGCGCAGTGTATTCCTAAGTTATTTTCAAGTTATTTTCAGGTTATTTCTGGGGTTATTTTCAGGTTATTTCTGGGTTATTTTCAATTATCCTGAAATAACCCAAAAATAATCAGCGGTTTTTATTTTTGAGTTATTTCTGTGTTATTTCGGGATTATTGAAAATAATCTGAAAATAACTCATGAATAACTTGCATTGCATGTAGAGGTACGTCGGGTGTCCGGACAGAAAATGCGCTAAAAAAGAAGAGAGCAGATCAGCAGTAGGAACATCCGATGGTTAACTACCCGGGGCCACAATCTAAATACACCTAATCAGGTGATGTGGCATGTCTTGGTTGGGTGTTGTGGATGTCCGCACTTTGGAGTAGAGAAAATAGAAATCACCTTGATGGGTTCCCTTCCCTATACTTACTAGAAAATTAAAAAAATAAACAAAGAGTTTCTCAATTTTTGAGATCGACGAACAGAATGGCAAAATAAAGAAAGGTCCATTATTATTATTTTTTAATTCTTGGTTGACAAATATCCAAATTTTAATTCTCCATAGATGAGAGTTTTGATTGTATGGGAACAGTGATCAATTTTAGTGTGAATTGTTTGTAAGGGAACCCTGTCATGTAGACTTAATTTTTTGATTAATACATGAGCTTAACAAAATAATTTAATTAGTATCTAATTAATTATATTAATTTTGATTAAATTTACTAAATTAAGTTACATCTAATACTTAAACTATGCTTATGTCATGAACATTAAATATTTAGGGTTGTTTGATCTACAAAAAAAAAAACCAATGAATTGTATTTTTTTTGCATGAGTTTTAAGAATTTTAGCATTTCATTCATTAGAATTCCAAATAAGATGTAAAATATGATCAAATATGGAATACATTCTATAGTTCATCTTATATGTATTTGGAATTCAGTCGATTTGGTCTATTTCTTAATTCACACATCTATGTAATGTGTTGTTGTCAATCGTCAGCCATCCTTCGCTAACCAGCCAAGGCCTCCACCAGTCACCACCGCCTCCTGTCCATTGCCAACCAGCACATTACTTTTAAAAATACATTATTTTCATTTTTTACTTCAAACCAAGCAATAAAAAATGAAATCATTCGTTTATTTTCATATTGAACAAAACAATTCCAAAATATTTCAAATACAATATATTACACATGCATTACATTTATTTTATATAATTATGCTCAATTAAAATTTAGTGAGATAAAAAAATTAATAAAATTTTTGGCCAAGATTTGTTAAATATATAATTAATTATGCTTAAATTAAATATGACTATGAGATAAGAAAGAGAAAAAAAAAATAGACAAAAAATTGTTATGTTGAAATCAATCTGAATTCGTAGAAAAATATATATTAATAATTAAATAAACCTTTACACAAAAGAAAACTTAACTCAGTTCGATTACAGCCTTAATTACGAGAAAAATTATCATTAAGAAATATATCTTATTTTAAAATAAAACATAAATAAAATAAAACAAAAATTAATCCCAAAAGGCCCTTAACCTTTCTAAGAGTGTAAATAAATAAATATTGTGCTGTGTAACTTTTTCTTAAATGCGGTACAACTCTACCTTTTACTCGAATTTGAGAGTCTGACCTCAGAAAGAGAAATTAAAAAAAAAAAAAAAAATCCTCTGATAAATCACAGGCGTTGTTGTCCGGACACAGCTTGTGTTCGGATTCCAAACATATTTTTCCCTTGACGCAAACTATTTGACTCTTATAATAGTTACAAACCAATAAATGACAACAAAATTATCAAGATATCAAGATAAGTTTGTTGGAATGGGAGGACTGATGATCATAATGGCAAAATATATACTTGAAAAGAATATATTTTCCCCAAAATAAATAAATAAATAAATAATAAAGATTTTTTTTTTTTTTAGCAGGCCACTTTTGTACCCTCTTTTCTTTAAAAGCCCTCAACAGTCTCTCTCTCTCTCTCTTCTCATCCCAATATTCTTGAGACAAATTTTTCTAGGGGAATTCACCAACACACCACACAATTCTACAGTATTTAAATATATAACACCTAAATATCCATATTTACAAGCATATCACTCAAATCTTTAACTCCGCATCTAACCATATAACCATCACTATCTTGTTAAAGGTTAAATACAAACTTTCATGCATAGTTACATACATCAAAGTGTTATAAGTGTAACTATAAAACTTTGGGTGTTAGATATATAATACAAAAGAATTGTGGGATATATATATATATATATTCCCAAGGCATAAAATTTGATATTTTGTTGCAGTAAAAAGTAAAAAAAATGAAGAAAAACAGAATAAAAAGAAGCAAAATCACATTTGAACACGAAAACCTGAACCAAACCATGAAAATAGAAGTTGGAAGAATCAGAAATCAGACAAGCTTACAGGTTTATCAAATCAATGACAGAAAGTTCCCTCGCTTCAAGTAGTCTTCAGTAACAACAACAACAGTTGGAAACAGTTCTCTGATATTTAACATGTGGAATTCTTCATAAATAGATAGGAAAATTCAACCCTTCTTTGGCATGGCGGCAAGCCTTGTGTACATCCTTGCCATCGATTGGTATCCCCTAGTATCGCCAGATCGAAGGAGATTGCCTGTTTAAGAGATAGAGAGAGAAAGACATGATGTGGAGGAGAGAATTATGTTGTATCACAGGCTTGGCAGACAGATTTCTACATGAGACCACAAACTTACAAAAATTGAATGCTTGCCTAGAAAGACATAGTAAAACAGAACCATGATGTCGCTTAACCCGAAAAAACAAGGGAATTAGGTGGTATGTATGTAAATGCCCTTTATAAGGAAGATTTACATACATGCCACTCGTTTCATATGAGTTTAAATAGCTAATGCTAAAACATAAATTTTTACATACATGTCAATTTTACCTATGCATGAAAAAGGTGTATTTTGTTTAAAATTAAACTTGGTTTTAGCACATATGACATTTGGGATTTAATTGAGCCCATAATCTAGAATAGTCTTTAAGAAACTAGAGACTCATTTTATGAAGAAAGTTTTAGAGGATTCTAGAGATGTTCTAAAAGAATGATTTAAAAAATTCTAAAAGATGTAATTAATGATTTTTGTAATATAAGAAAGAAAAGAGAGTAAATAGTAACCATATGATTGAAATATATTGGCATAATCATAATGGGCGTCACTATTATTAATAGGTGTAATGTGTTTAGATGATGAGTTTTGATGCCATAAGATCCTTTCTAGAGAGATAATATGTAACGGTATGATTCCCTTTCAAGTCCCATCGTTCAACAATAGCAACTATGACCATTTGAGCAACAAAATGAAGGCTTTTCTTGGAGCACGAGATGTTTGAGAGATGGTAGAGAGAGGCTACAACGAGCCACAAGATGGGTCAAGTCTATCCCAAACTCAAAAGAATAGTCTAAGAGATTTGAGGAAGAAAGACAAGAAGATTCTCTATCCAACCTATCAAGAATTAGATGATGACGTTTTTAGAAGATTTCTGATGTGAAGTTTGCCAAAGAGGCATAAGAGAAGCATCATACCTCTTATAAATAAGTGGGGCAAGTCAAGTAGGTGTGCCTACAAATATTAAGAGATGAGTTCAAAGCCTTACATATGAAAGAATCTGAAGTCGTCTCTGACTAATTTATTAGTCTTGACAGTTTCTAATCAGCCAAAGAAAAATGGAGAGAAGCCAGAAGATGTAAGGGTTATGGAGAAAATCCCTCTATCTTTAGATCCAAAATTCGATCATATTGTTGCCATCGTTAAAGAAACTGAAGACTTGCAAACTATAACAACTAAGAAGCTTCTAGGTTCCTTACAAGCCTATGAAGAAAAGAAAAATAAGAAACAAGGAATCACAGAACTCCTCCAGAAGACGCAACTTAATTTAACTAAAGAAAAGAGTCTTGAGTACAATAGAAGTCAATAAGGAACAGATCGCGGTCAAGAACAATGTCGTGGTCATGGAAATGGACGAAGTTGGAGTTCCAATAATGATGACAATAATAATACCAATTTTGAACGGGGAAGATCAAGGGGGTGTGGAAGAGGAAAATCAAGACCAAGGTGCTACAAGTCTTAAATGATATGTTACAATTGTCAAAAGTTAAGTCACTATGCTACAAAATGTTGAACTCCCAATAACAATAAAGTTGAAAAGAAAGCTAATTTCGTAAAAGAGAGAAATCAACAAGAAGAATCTTTGCTACAAACATATGAGGATAACAAAATATGTGAAGATAACACATGGTATCTGGGCATCGGTGCAAACAACCATATGTGTGCAAAAAAAAAACATACTCGTGGAGCTTGACAAGTCGGTGAGTAGCAATGTGTCTTTTGAAGATGAGTTCAAAGTAGTTGTGAAAAAGGTAATATCCTTATCTGGTTTAAGAATGGAAAGCACCAATTTATTTCCAAAGTTTATTATGTGCCAAATATAAAAAATAATATCAACTCTTAGAAAAAGGTTATGATATTCATTTGAAAAATAAGAACATTTTTATAAGAGACAATATAAGTAACCTATTTGCAAAAATAAAAATGTCAAGAAATAGAATGTTCTTGCTCAATATTTAAAATGATATTTTTGAATGTCTCAAAGCCTATTACAAAGACCAATATATGGCTCTGGTTCATTCTAGGCATCTTAATTTTGTGGTGATAGAGAATTGACATCTATAATAATTATCTATTTGAAAACTTTCAAATTATTGAATAGTGAAAATCAAGATTTTCTTGTTGAGACAACAGATATCTCTAGCTATGTAATGCATTTGGGTGATATTCCAATATTAAGAGAATATCTGAAAGTTTTTCTTGATGATTTACCAGGACTATCACCAGTGTGAGAGATTGACTATACTATTGAGCACTTGTCAGATTCTAAGCTTATATCTAAGGCACTCAACATAATGACAGTTAAGGAGTTGCAAGTGTTGAAGAGTCAATGGCGGGAGTTACTAGATAAGGGGTTCATCAAAACTAGCAGATCTCCTTGAAGAGCTCCAGTGTTATTTGTGAAGAAGGATGAGAGCTTCAGAATGTTTATTGACTTCAGAAAGTTGAATAAGCTTACAGTTAAAAACAAATATCTATTGGCGATGATTGATAACTTGTTTGATTAAATGGAAGGGGCAGTAGCTGAATAAGCTTACAATTAAAAACAAAGATCCACTCCAGAGGATTGACTTCAGGGAGTTGAATAAGCGTATAGTTAAAGAGTTGTGCGAGTTGAAGAGTCAATTGCAGAAGTTGTTAGATAAGGGGTTTATCAGACCTAACACATCACCTTGGGAAGCTCCAGTATTATTCGTGAAGAAGGATGAGAGCTTCAGAATGTGCATTGACTTCGAGGAGTTGAATACGCTTACAGTTAAAAACAAATATCCACTAACGATGATTGATAACTTGTTTGATCAATCGTAATGAGCTTTTGTATTTTCAAAGATTGTTCTCAAGTAGGGCTATCACCAATTGAAGATTACAAAGAAAGACAGCTTTAATGACGAGATATGGGCACTATGAATTTGTGGTGATGCCATTTGGGTTGACTGGCACTCCAACGGTTTTTGTGCATCTGATGAAGCAATTTTTAGATACCTCTATAATTTACTTTATAGATGATTTCCTATTGTATTCTAGCGAAGAAGCCAACCAAACAGATAACATGCATGTTATTTTGCAAGTTTTGAAACATAATACACGATATACTCAATTTTCTAAATATGAAAATTGGCTTAAAAGTGTGGCTTGTCTTGGGCATATAATCAGTAGAGATGACATATATGTAGATTAGAATAATATCAAGATGATTGTAGTTTGGCCAAGGCCTACTGTTGTTACTAAGGTCAGGAGTTTTCTAGGTCTAACCGGTTATTTTAAAAGATTTGTAGAAAAAATTTTCACATGTTGTTGTCATTATTAAGATCTACTCAGAAAACAGTGAAGTTTGAATGATTAGATCATTGTGAGGAGACTTTTTAGAAGTTGAAGACATGTTTAATATCTGCTCCAATATTGATTATTCCTTTAGATTCATATGAGTTTCAGATTTTCAGTGATGCATCTTTAACGAATTTGAGTTGTGTACTTCCGCAACATGGAAAGGTCATTGCCCATGCTTCAAGTCAATTGAAGGATCATGAATGAAATCATCCCACACATGATTTGGAGCTTGCAGCATTTGTGTTTGCACTTAAGATATGCCCTGTCCGTATAGAGCTAAATGTTAGTTATTCACTGATCATTGGAGTTTGAAGTACATCTTTACTCAGAAAGAGATGAACTTGGGGCAGAGAAGATGACTGAGTTTATTAAAGACCGTGATTTGAATATTCAGTACCATCAAAGAAAGCAAATGAGGTTGCAAATGCCCTGATTAAGAATGCTTCAGTTGCAACCCATATGAATATATAGTACCATCAAAGAAAGCAAATGAGGTTGCAAATGCCCTGATTAAGAATGCTTCAGTTGCAACCCTTATCGATTCGTGAGTGGAAATGAGAAGATTGATATGGACTTTGTCATTGGGTTGTCTAAATCAAGTTAGGGACGTGATGCTATTTGGTTAATTGTTGGCAAATTAACTAAGTCTGCTCAATTCTTGTGTATTAGACAGACAGATTCAACTGAGAGATTAGTTACATTATGTGGATCAAATTGTGAGATTATATGGAGTGCCAAGTTTATTGTCCCCAACAATGATGACGAATTTTTACTTCAGATTGTGAAAAAAGATCCAGGAAGCTTTGGACACCGATTGACTTTCAATACAACATTTCACTATCAAATAAATGACTAGTCAAAAAGGACTATTCAAATTTTGGAGGATCTACTAACGTTATGTCCTTAACTTTTGTAGATGATGGAAATCACATATAGCTTTAGTAGAATTCACTTACAATAACATTTATCACTCTATATTGGGATGGCTTCATATGAAGCTCTGTATAGAAGAAAGTGTATGACACATTATGTTGGGTTGAAGCAGGCGAACGAAAGATTATTGGAGATGACTTGGTTGATGATGCTACCGAAAGATTAGACTGATCAAAGAAGATTAAATGCAGTGCAAAAGGGTGTGCAACGTTTTGGGAAGCTAGGAAAACTGAGTTTATCCAATGAGATTGTGGTTAAGATTGGAAGAGAGTTACAGATTGGTCTTACCAGGTTATATGTAATGAGTACATAATGTTTTCCACATTTCTTCACTTAGAAAGTAAATTGCAGATGAATCAAGTAAGGTGATAGCAGACTAAGTTGATAAACAACCTGAATTGACTTATGTTGAGGTGTCTGAAAGGATACTAGATTATGATGTAAGGAAATTGTGTGATAGGGAGACTACATTTATGAAGATTTTACGGAAGCATGGATTAGAGAAGAATCATATTTGGGAGAAAGTTTTTGATATGCAAGAAGAAATCCACAGTTTTTTATTTGAGGTGAATTTGCATTTGCATTAAATGTTTTCAAAATTTCAAAGAAGAAATTTTATAAGGTGGGGAGATCGTAATAGCTTAAATAAAATAAATAAATAAAAATTGATTCTTAATAATCATCAAGCGATTCATTGAAGTGAAGTCTAAGGACGGAACGAACGGAGTCCAAATCTTCGTATCAGTTAATAGAGTGAGAGTTCCAGAAAGACAGAGCATGGAGTCGTGCCCTAGCCAAGCTAAGAGAAAGGAAGAAGAAGAGGAAGAATTGAAGCATTCATCGAGAAGCTTAGCATCAGACACCACCGTCGAGCTGGGTGTCTCGTCTGCGAGTGAAGGAAAACGGTAGGAGAAGAACCAAAAGGAGGAAGGTTCATGCAATTTTTCCTTGTCTTGTGATACTTACCACACTCGATTGGCAACAAGCGATAGATAAAGGAAGGAGGAATGACTCTACGCGAAGGCTTGAGCGGAGAAGAGAGGTGAGCCTCGTGTGTAATATCATTGTGGTGTTGAGCCCTAACCGAAGGAGGAATCAAAGCCCAAAATGGAACGAGTAAGAGAAGACGACGCCGTGAGCATGCGGTGTTGGGTTGAACCACAATTGAAGGCAAAGAAGGCAGAAGGGAAGCTCATGCGTGCGTGAAGGCTCTATGTGGGGCTTGCGTGCAGGTTAGGGCAATCAAGCGATTAAAAGGGTAATTAGGAGATTTATCGTAATTTAATCAATGAATTATATGCATATTATTTAAGTGTTAATATTAGATGTACTTGAAATTAGGACGCAATTGAAGGGAGAAACCGTTTCAAGATAGAGGAGCGAATCACTTTAAAAGATAAGATATGTTTTAATCAAATATAAAGTTTAATTTACTTAATTTAAAATTAATATTTGATAAAATATTAATTTATAACAATAATTAAAATTAAAGAACATTTGAACCTAGAAGATCAAAAGTTAGGGAAGGTGAGAAAAAAAACAAAGTAAGGTGAGCGATTATTTTCTTATATGAATTAAATTAATATTTATTTAATAGAGAATTTCTTTAATGTTTAAACAGTTATTTTTATAATTATATGGATATTGTGAGCTTGAGAATTAGAAATGGGGAAAAAAATGATTGTTCAATGTTTTTAAATGGAGGCACTTAAAGAAAATGAAATCTAAATAATTAAGTCAACCAAGATTACCCACTAATGATACTGGAAGGAGATACGATGTACCCATGCACATAAAGAAAATGTAAATAATAAAAGTGTACTTTCAAGCGTAATTTTTTTAGGTTGCATACAGGTATAATTTTAAGGGTATATTCGGATATGACGGTAAACGTGATATGAATTTTTAAAAAGATAAAAAAAAAAGTAAATATTGAAATTAAAACGGGAAGAGTTAAATTTAAAATGAAAGCTTACAGTTTGAATAAGTAATTAACTATATTTTTTTTCATCATTCGTGCATAGTATTTGCATATAAATTTAAAACATATTAAGATTATAATTGTTCACTAAGTTATAGAAAACTTATAGTTAAATTTAATTATTTCTTTCATAAAAAGAAAAATTATAGATTGATATATCCAATATGAGAAATTTAGTTTACATGAGAATGGCAACTGCTAATATGTATTATGATTGTAGTTTCTTTGTATTTTTTTCTTCTAGGAAGTGATACATTGTTATGTACCAGCTTGAGATGTTGTCCACAGACTATATATTTATGTTTTGATGTTTTGATTTTTGTATGTTATACTTTATGGTTTCTTAGTAGCTCTTTTATCTATAAGTTCCTAAAAATCTGTTGAAAATAAATTAAATGTTCGTACCATCTTTCCATATCCCCTTCCGCATCCTCCCACATCACTCCTGCCCGCCCCTTCCCTGTTGCAGCCGACTAGAACAACCTCTTTTTGTTGTTTTGTGCAGTAGCTACTTTCCAGCCACCTTCCCCACCCAATGGTTGTTGTTCCAGCCACCCATATCTGTTTTCATTGCGGCGTCACTGCTGTTCCCGACCAAGAAGAACACTTCTCTGCAGCCTTGTCTGCTGTTCCAGCCATTCTGAACCACTTCCCTACCACCTAGCCACTGTCCCAGCCCTTCCCACCTGCTGCTATCGCTATCCAGCCCTCCATCTTTGCTGCCGCTGCTTTCCCAGCCCTCCATCTTTGCCGCCATCATACTGGACAGCTGTGCAACGTCGATAACTAATGCATACTTGCTGTCCAGTATCCAGGAAGTAGTGTTTTCTACTTGTCAACCATCTCGCCCACCATCCCACCATCTTCCAAACCCTCGCCGATCACCAACACCACTCCGAGATTCACCCCAGCCATGTGCCGTGAGTCGTGTAGTTGTTATTTCTTATTTCAGCGCATTGTGTGCTATGTTTGTTGTGTTTTTCCTTTCAAGTATGTTGATTGTAGCAATTTATTTGCTTTCATTAATAATGTGTTTTTTTCTATTGTGGTTTGAGTTAAATCTACTATTAACACTTAAATAATATGGAAATCCATACCCCATCATCCCTCCACATGTACTTCCCAACTACAGATACAATTTCCGACAAATTCAAAAAACAGAATGCCTGTTTTTATTATTAATTTTGATGCGGTTCAATCAACATCATGTAAGCATATATTACCTAAGAACCGACTAATTTAATGTACCAACCAAAACCAATTCCCGCATCCCATTTCTTCAAGCAAATTACGCTTCCAACACTATATCATGAATATGAATCAAACAGGAATATGGATATCCAAAACAACTAAAGAACATCCGCCACCAGTATTGTCAGAGATAAACAATTCAACCTTATGCATGAGTGAGTCAAATATGAGCAAACTCTCTGTTCAACCTAAGTTCAAACCACAAATTTGCACCTTCAATTCTTCATAGAGGCTGTGTAACGGACTTATTATGTACTCAAGCCTGAACCGAATACAAAACACAATTGAACTGAATATGACCAAGTATTGAGTCATCGTATGCAGATACAACTAATGCTGAAATAAATTAAGAAAAAAAAAACGAGTGATTTTAATCTGTAATCAAACCGAACATAATAAAGATGTTCCGTTTTCATGTTCTAACTATTTCAAAAACAAGCTCATATCCCTTATAGTTCATTGATGGCTATGATAAAATTTACCAAAGCATATTGAAACAATAAAATATAAAATGCTTTTTGACTTCCTTAGTTTGAACAAAAACCTGTGACAGGCAACATACCTGAATCACAATTTAGAGGGCTATCAGGCTCTGGATGAGCCATCAAGGCAATTATAGCTCTGCAAACAGACTGAAGAGTCCACGCAGGACTCCAAGCATTCTTCAGTATGTCAAGGCAGATCTCCCCTGTCTGCACAGAAAAAAAAAATTACATCCAAAAGAGTTAAACACCACATAATTATGTCAAGTGAACATTTGATTGAGAAAAGAGCACAAGTAAATATGAATAGCTTAGAAAGCTCAAAGCGTCTTTTTTGGCGGAGGATATCGTACACCAAGTAATTGTTGGCTCCATAGAAGAGGACATACGGATGAAATGCTTTGCCCGTGGGGCTCTAATAACCATTGAGAATGTGGGCCATGTTATTGCTAGATGCAAAATTCTCATTGAAGTTAAATGCAAAGTGCGGCAATGGGGAATCAATATCCCATTTTACAGCAATCTAGAAGAAGTGATAGAAGGCATTAATAAATAGGATGGTGACAAGAATAGGCTCATATTCATTCACTGCAAGATCGTATACCAATGTTCGCGGGCTATGAATGCCAAGAAACATGGAAGAATGCACGGCACAGCAACTATTTTGGCCTCTACTGCTCTTGAGGCTCTCACCTCAAACCACAACCTTCAACTCGCGGAGCAATGGGACATTCAGTCTGACCGACCGTTGCAAACCCTTTATTGGTGTCCCCACGGATGGCTTAAAATCAACGTGGATGGGGCATTACTTCCATCTCACGGGTGGTATTGGCTTGGCAATTCTCGATGAAAAGGGCAAACTCTTTATGGCACTAGGAAACTCTATTGAACAGTGGCACAACGCTTAGGTGGAACTCAAGGCAATCCATTCCATCAAACATTTCGTTGAACCATGGATGTCTGAAGTTAATCAAAGGTGACAACAAAAACATCATTTCCTCTCAAACAGCAAGATCGGGGAGCTTGTGGAGAGCAAGGACATGGGATTCTAAAGATTTCACCATCTGAATGTGTTTAGGCAGGTTCTGTTCCAACACATAAATAAGAAAAGAAACATGATGGCACATAATTGTGCCCTTAGGGCCATACACGAAAGTCTTCTTATTAGAAACATAGATAGTTCTCGTTTTTTTCTTCATTTTTATTGATTTTGACCAAGCCCGCATTTCTGATGGCTGGGTTCTTTTGATTTGTATCGTTTGTACATCCTTTATTTTGATTAATTTGATGCACACCTTCAAGAAAAACATAGGAGGCAAAATCGTTTACACTTTGAATTTTTACCAGATAATTCATTGAATTTGTCAATACTGAGAATCAAGACCCCAATTTTTTATGAGGTACATGTTCTAACGATATTTTACTATTCCATAGTGCTAAATTTCTGCTCCAATCATAGCAAAAGACTAAAAGCAATAGGAAACTCTATTGAACATGGATCAAGGGTTTGTACCACTGGATCTATTTATTTGACCCCCTCGAATAACAAAAACTTAAGGCACATCAATCGAGGTTTTGCACTGTTAGATTTATCTCTCTACAACCCTAATAATTTTTTTCTTCTTTTTTTTAGTTTATTCTCGTCTATAATGCCTCTAGGAGTCATATATATACCTCCCCTCTTGTACAAAGAGGAAAATAAGATTCTTAAGAACTTTTTCCCATTACTTATTTTCTACATGATACCAGAAAGATGTTAGGGTATTCCTTCAACCTTATTTCTATTATCTAAGGTTAGAGTTTTTAATTACAACCTTATCCCTCTTGTCGAATTTTCCCTTCTATTCATTATGTCGGGCTAAATAGGACACAATGGAGAAAAAGGATTCATGTAGCCATAACCACGTAGTGCGATGAAGGCTTTGTTGTTGTTGTTGTTGTCGTCATTATGTCGGGCTTCTTTAACTTCCCTCTAAAGGAATTGATCATGATTAACAATGAAAATCAGAACAAAGGAGAACTCTATTTATTTCAGATATCTTATCGCTTGAATGAGAATAATTACCTTAAATGGTCCCAAATTGTGAAGGCTTTTCTAAAGAGAGAAAAAAATCCAACGCCTTATGGACCTATTTCCAGAGCCAAAAGAACCAAAGTTTTAATTTTGTGAAGAAACTGATTCCATATTCGTAACATGGTTGTTGAACATCATGCTACTAAATATCAGTGGACCTTTTATGTTTCTCTCTACCTCAAAAGAGGTTTGGGATGCAATTAAAGAAACATACTCAAAGGTGAAAGATGCTACAATTATATACAAAATCAAGATAAAGCTCACCACTATCAAACAAGGTAGCCTTCTTGTCATTGAACACTCACCATGAAGGTTTACTAGTAAGAGACAAACAACTACCAAAACCTCAAGAAGTCCTGCTATAAGGACAAATTTGAATCCAAATCTTAGCAGAAAAAATTTTCCTTCCCTAAATGAAGTACTCTCTCTCCTTTTAGCAAAAGAAGAAAGAATAAGAGTGATGATCACCAGTCCAACTCTCAAGACATCTACCATTTACAATTTCTGAATCCCAAGGTAACGGACTTCCTGTCATAGAACCTTCGTCAAAAAAACAACATCATTTTTTCAAAAGAAATCTCTAATGCAACTACTGCAAAAAGAAAGGACACGCTAAAGACACATTTTGAAAATTTCATGAAAAATCCCAAGGTCATGGAAGAAATAAAGGAGAAATAAAAAAGGACAGACCTATTTAGTGAAGTCAAGACTAAATTAAGAAGAAATCAACATATTAAAGAATTTGCTCAATTCTTTAGAAATATCATTTGAATCTTATTCTCATACTCACAATAGTATCATTTCTAATTCTTATGCTCTTAATGCCTCTAATAGTTTTTCTTATTCATGAATCCAAGATCTAGGGGCCATCTTCAAATACAATTCTTGTCAATATATTTCAAATTTATAGGCTCTGTCCAAACAACAGAAAAATAAGAATCGTTGATGGATTTTTAAAAGATATTACAAAACATGGAGATATTTTAATTTCTCTCAACTTAACCCTCAATAACGTATTAGAAGTCGCAAACTTTGCAGTTAATATATTATCTTTTCACAAATTTATCAAAAGCCAAAAGCCACAGCTACAATATTATATATTTTTACTAACTATTATGTTTTCAGGATCTCAATATAGAGAAGATGATTAGCATGATAATGAAAAATATTGGTTATACATTGAAAATCAAAGTCAACTATCATACTCCTTCACCTTTCATACTACCGACAACATTTAAACCTGTCATTATATTTTAGTACAACATTTTCCTTTAAAAAGATTTAATGTACGTTTCCTTCATATTTCATTAATACAAACATTAAAGACTTTCATTGTAAAACTTATGAAATTATCATAATATCATTGTGTTCCCTTTCCTAAAAGTAACTCTAAATCTTTTAGTGTTTTTATAATAATTCATTATGAGATAAAATTCATAATATCACTGGAGCCACTGATTTTGCTATATTTATTGATGACTGCACTCGAATGATATAGATATATTTAATTAAACAAAATATGATAGTAGCACTATACACTCGGCTCGTTTACAGCCCTAATTATACTTGCTCCAACTAGTTGGCACCACATACACATTCAATATTTTGGAACTTAAATAAGTCAGGAATTGATATAAGAAAAAATAAATTTTGGGTAACAAGACAAACTTAAATTTAGATAAGTATAGGTTAACCCATTGCATTTTTCCAAAATGACGACACTTAAACAAAGCTTTCCTAGAAAACGAGGCATCAATAAAATTAGGAAAATTTTAAAATATTTAAAATGTCAGTTTGAGGTCTTATGATGCAAGGCAAATCAAGGTCTTAAGATTTTCTAAGAAGATACGAGGCTTACGGATATAAAATCAGCAAGAGAAAATAGATGCGAAAAAAAGCATTCAAAAAACCACGAGGAAACAAACTAATAAACACAAACATATACTTCACATTTAAAAGAATTACTGCAAAAAAAAAAAAAAAAAAGAATTTGAATCCATATGAAAATTATAGGAGATTTTTTAGATTTGACTGATATTAAGAAAGGCAAAGCTAGACTAAAAAAGATTTAGGCATATTGTATGAGAAAGGATCTTAATCTATTAGATTTAAATGAAAATATGATACTCAATAGTACAGAATGGAGAAAAAAGATTCATGTAGCCGACCCCACTCAGTGGGATAAAAGCTTGTTGTTGTTGTATGGAAATTATAGAAGATATCCTGAGAGAAATTAATCACAAAAATTTTCAAAAAATGAAAAAAAAAACAATGGATCAAGAATTCATGCACAAAATTGGCATTAAGCTTGATCGGTCAAGAGAAGCCAAGCCCCTCCCTGGGGCCCTCTTGATGTGTGAGAAAAAAGGAACTTCATGAGTGACTTTTCTTGAGATGAGATAGGTTTGTTTTAAAAAAAAAATCCCTTATGTTGTGTCATAATTTATTTAAATCCATGATTAATATTTTCTAGGAGTGCAAGGCCCTACGGTTAATTAAATCTTTCACTGCAACAAGATCACTCTCAATTAAGAATAATATATAAGCTCAAGTTACGTATTTTAGGTTTAAAGCTCATCGGTGGTGAGTTTGGAGGAATGGAGCTAGATCCAATCAGTGTCGAGTTTATCAGTATACCCATCCTGCCAACATTATATTCAGGAAATTTGATTAGCTACTATGGATAATCTTCTCTCAAGTATCTCTAGTAGACGGGTGAAAATTTAAATGTGTGTAGATGATGCGCTCTCATGATTGACATCAATATGTTTACTACTAGAGTGCTAGTCATACCAATCTCACTTAGCAGGTCAAAAGACAAAAAATGGCCACTTATAACCCAGAGATGTTGAACATGGCCGACAGAAGTTCAGAATAATGACACGATTGTAATATGTATATAAGTTTCAGCTCGACTAAAAGTATGTCTATAACACATAAGATTTGATTAGTGGGCTTGTTTGCATAGAAGTTGGCCAGAATTTAATTGCAGTTTGGGTTTACATCTATTGGAAGCCCATAAGTGGGCCAAGTTAACTTTTTATCACAAATTCAACCCAGGTTTTAGCTTTATGACCTCGGGAAGGCCCAAACTAGTTGTGATGATGCTTATAAGGAACACAAGTTAAAGGTTTAGTATTGTTATATTGTTATTACTTTCTTTATAAGGCAAAGGGATAATTTTGTATTTTTGAGATTGCATATAAGTACACGTATATGATATTAGAAATTTTGTGATGGCCGATTTTATTAAGATTTTATTTCGAGCCATTTAATTTGATTAATTGTCCTTAGGCCTGATAAAGATTGTTGCTTGACTTGGAATCAATTGTAATGTTAATTCCAAAATTCTACAATCTTGAAAGTATATGGAGGAGGCTCATTTATAATATGAATGTTCCTTCTTTCCAATTTTTTTCTCCTGTACTTATTGAAATAGTGAACATGCCACACTATTTGGATATGAATTCTGCTTTCACTGTATATTTCTTGACCAATAGGCCATGGATGGCTAAATGATTCAGCTTGTGAGAGTCGATTTGTTTAGGAGGGACGCATGTGACATGATTCCATGTTTTGAAAGTGTATACAAATGAAATATACTTTACATGAGAGGATATGTAATGTTCCGACCACATAAGGTGCTGCAAGTACATCACAGGAAAGGCTATGAGAAGCATCCTCAGAGCTTCTACGGTGGACTGCATTGAAGAAGGTTAGATCCACTGTCATCGATAACTAGTGTCATGTGAGAGAGAATAGCTAAGATAATTCTGGTGGGAGTCATGAAAAAGAGGTTGTGGCTAGGTCACTATGGAAGGCCACACGACGTGGAAGGAGAGTAAAAGCAGAAGAAGAGAGAATGAGAATTGGTTGGGTGCAAGAAAGAATTGAAGATTGGTTGGACGTGAATGCACAAGAAATGGAAAGAGGGAGGATCGGAGAGAGCAAGCTTCGACCCAAATTGAGACAAAGGGAGAAAACTTCATTGAGATTGAAGTGGAGTGTGAATGTGGTGTTGAATTACAATCAGCTGTGACTGCTTTAGTTCGGTCGAGACGAAATGAAAAATCAAAGAAGAGGAGGCGAACGGAGAAGGAGAAGAAATGAACAAAAAGCTGAAGAAATGAGAGTAGGGCAGTTAAAAGAAGGAGAGGAATTGAACTGTCGAGAACTCAAAGGTCACTTGTGTTTTATAAAATGATGCATAGGAGGAAGACAAGTCAAGTCCAAAAGAAGAAGAAAAATGGAGGAGAAAGTATGAGAAAAAAGGAGGGGGAAAAGAAGGGTGCAACTTGCCTGCGTGGGAGGCTTGAGCGTAGCAGAAAAAATGGCATCAATGATGAGCAGAGGAGACGATGTTGGTAGCAAGCCACAATAGAAAGAGTCTCGTGCGGGGAGGCTATGTCGAGTTTCAAGCTGTAATGTTCTGTTTCAGTAACACGGAATAAGGGGAAACGAAGAATCGAAGAAGATGATGTGAGGAGTTGGGCAGTTAGATAGAGGGGAGAGGAAGCAAGGGGGTCGGAAGCTAAGGAGGTGAGTTCAACTTATAAGCTGTCGTATAAGAGAGGCAAGAACTTACCATGCGAGTCAAAAGGTGAGTGTGAGAGACGTCGGGCGCAAATTAGGGCATCCCCATAGCCGAAGATGACGACATTGACGGACGACGACATTTCTTTTGAGAAGGAAGGAGCAAGTGGGGGACAAAAGAGCCAAGTGTTGCGTTGCAGTGTCAATCCGTGACAAAAGTGTAATAACAAAAAGTTTAAAAATAATAATAATGATGATGATGGTAATAATGATAATCAAAATTTGAATGGGCACCAAGATAAGCACCTGTTCGACTATGAATTAAAGAGTTGTCTTACATTATTCGAACAAACAAACGAGCACTTGAGAGAAAGAACAGAGAGATCAGGAGAGAGATCTTATGCATGTCCTAACCAATTGAAAGAAGAAAGAGGAAGAAAGGAATGTGCGACGTTTATATCGTGCCCTAGTCGAGTGAAAAAGTCGTAGGAAGAAGGAGGGGGATAAGTCAACCCAGAACCTACTAGTGGAGACAAATAAAAATAGAACAAAAGGGAAAAAAAGGAAAGTAAATAAAAGCAAATCAAAGCAAGAAATCTACATATTAATATTTTAATATTCTAATAAATAAATATAAGGGAGATTTGCATGCAACTCGCTCAAAACTATTAGAATTACATATTTCATACCCAAACTTCGATATTCACATCCCTAACACCCAAAATGTTCAAATAAAAACAAAATTAACACCTTGGCATTAAAATCCTAAACACCGTTAGGTTCACGAATTTTATGCTGCTCTATTTTGGCGATGCTACCAAAGTTTCGAAGCAGCGGAGGGAATGCGGCGAACAAAGACGTCAGAAACTCCCTCTTTCTCCTCCTTTCACCCAACTCCAATCCAAAACCATTGAGGAAGATACCTGGCATTACATCAAAAGGGAGGAAAGACGGGATTTAAGAATCGATGCGTTCGGAGTTCCGAAGCGTCTACGGAATCACGGTGAACAAAGATGTCAAAAACTCTCATCTTTTTACTACTTCTGCCCCGCCCCAATCCAAAGCCATTGAGGAATGTACCAAAATTTAAGGCAAAACCGTGTAAAGACGAGATTTAAGAACCTGCAGAATTTTAAGCTATCATTTTTTTTGACGAAAAATGATATTTAAGATTCTGCAGGATTTTAAGTTACGATTATTGTAGTTTGGCGGGCAGAAAGAGGAGAAATAAGGGAGTTTTGGAGGTCTCCATACGCCGCAATCTCGCAAGTGCTATAAGAGCGAGGAAGGAGGAGAAAGATGGGAGTTGCATAGGTCTTTGTACATCGCGACCTCATCGTTGCGCTAGGAGCGAGCTGAAAAAAGAAGAAACATGGGCATTTCAGAGTTCTTTGTACTTCGCAATGCCATCATCGTCGTCCAGGGTGTTGAGGATGTAAATATTGAAGTTTGGTGTGAGATATGAAATTCTAATAGTTTTAACTGTTTTGTATATAAATCCCCCAATTTATAAATATTATAATAAAATATATATCATTACCCGTGGCTTTTTCATGGATCATATTTATGCTTCAATCTATTATTTATATCATAACTAAAAGATTTTACTTCCTGAGTTTATTCTCTGAAAACTTCAACTTATCAATTCTTATTATTTTTAGGTTAATGCTTGTATCTTTGAAAGGAGAGCTTAGTGTCGCAGACAAATAGTCCCACATTGGCTAGGTGTAGGGCCGAAAAACAGTATTTAAGTCCTCCTGGGCTGCCCACCACCCTGGGCTCTTTTGGGAGGTGACAAGTGGTATCAGAGCAGATTACTGCCTGCCAGGTGTGTGGACTCTCCATGGTCCAGTGGGACCCTCGGTGGAGCCGATCCGTGACGAGGGCGTCACGTGATTGGGTGGAGGAGAATGTCACGGACAAATAGTCTCACATCGGCTAGGTGTAGGGCTGAAAAGCAGTATTTAAGTCCTGGGTTGCCCACCACCCATAGGGGCTCTTTTGGGAGGTGACATTAGGCTCATGCTCGATGTATCATTGGAAAATGACTAAGGTTAATGTTATTTATTGGTAAATAGGCGGGGCTTAATTCTTGGATTAGTTATAGCAATAGTTAATTAGCATTTATATTTTGGAGATAAATTGGTAGATGCTATAAAATTTAGAAGCTCTAATATCTTATTTTTGATGGACAAACATCACAATGAAAATTTTATATTTATTAGACTAACTCTGAATTTATCAACTCACCTACCCTGTTGGGTTATTGTTGACTTTTTCCAAGCCTGATGGATAGGCTGTGACATAATCATTGCAGGAAATTGGCAAATTTAAAATTACAGCCTCCAATGGTCAATCACTTAAAAGAAATCAATAACTTCAATCCAAACAGACGGAATCAAGATCTGATTTCTGAATGTACAACTTAAAAAACAAAATAGAATTCAATATTTCAACAGCAAAAGATAATGTAGTATAATGTAGTATTATACTACATTATACTACTAGTATAATGTAGTATAATGTAGTACTTAAAAAACAAAATAGAATTCAATATTTCAACAGGAAATCAGACCCAACCATACTTCCATCTCTAACCTCAACAAGCGATTTTGCAAAGATAATGTAGTATTATAATGAAGGATAAGTTTCTTCACCTTGAAATGCACATTGGGATGGAAAATTTTTGTCAAAAATCGCACTTGTGGAGGCAGCAGAGGGTATTGCTCTGGGATAGCAAATGCTAGCTGAAAAACACCACCTTCATATGGAGTTTCAGAAGGTCCCTACAAATAGTCAATGCATTAGCTGCTACAGGAAATGAGCACAATTCAGACCACTGGCACTACCTTGATTAAAGCAGTCCACTTGAATATGTTTGAATCATCACAAACTAACTGTATATCAGGGTCGGCTGACTTCTCACGCTGCACCTCTTTGTATTCTTTAAAAAGTCTTGCTCTTGATGCCTGCTAACCATTTTAATTATCAGTATGTATGAAAAGGACAGAACAAACAGTTGGCATTAGCTTAGTAATAAAAATTTCAACTTACGTCTCCTAGGAAAAAGGCAATATCACTGTCTTCTAGACAAAAACATTATATATGAAAGTTTATATCATACAATGAAGGAAGAAATAAGCTGCCAGTTAATAAACCTTTTGAAAGATGGAAAACAATTTTAAAAACAAAGACTGATGAAATTCAAAAATTGAAATTGAATGTTTTAAGGCTATGACTTTCCCTAAGCAAAGATGTTCATTAGTCAAGTAATGAAAACAATGGCAAGAAGAACCCAAGTACAGAGAAAAATTTAAAACATTATTTGTCTTAAAATGGAAGTATAGATAAGGAAAAGAGTAGTATTATTCACAAACTATTTTTCTTTTTATCCTAGGATTCAGGTGGAATGCAGAAGACACAAACCTGAAAATTTCCACATATTTCACAAATCTGAAAGCATAATGAGTGTAAAATACTTCTAGTATTGTCACAAAGCCTAATAAGTATAACGACGGACCTGAAAGCACAGCTTTTATCCAAAAGTTTACAGTTGATTTGACCCTACCAGCTTATCACTAACCAATATTTGATCAAGATCCGTAAGGCTATTTTCAAATAACTTAATCAAGAAAGATCATGGAAACTAATATCAAACTCCATTTGTAAATATCAATCATGCCGTCAATGTTTTTGAATAAAAATCATCCCATGTGTTTTATGACTCTTTGTAACAGGACACAGCTCCAAACCACATAAACTCACATATGAATAAGCATTGCTAAAAGAAAAGGCATTTTGTTGTTATATAAGCCTTAGCATCACTACATGGTTCCTAAGAAGGTAATGAATCCGTAATAAAGATTTTCAATGAACTTTGAAAATTATGTTCCTAGGTTAACCAATCAAGTATATTATTCCTAAAATTCATATTGTGTATCAAAGTAAAGGTTGGAAACCATTTAAGTTTCCATAAATTCCCCTGTTTGGTCCATTGAATATAAGAAAGAATCTTATACTCAAGTTGGTTCACCTATTATCGGCAATTAACCAGCTCCGTAACATTGAAGAAGATTCATTCAAGTCAATACTTTGTAGGCACTCAGCCAAGCCCGACTTGTGCAGATGAGTGGTGTCAGATGTGAAATGTTCAAAACTGAAAAGTTTAAGGAACAGCTTGAATGGATCAGCTTTCAACAAGTTAATTTGTTCTGATTAGGCAGGTCCATGTGGATTTCTTAGTCCCAAAACCCACGCCACAAAGAGTCTCAGGGCCAAGTTGGGGCAAACCAAGAAAATGAATCAGGCAAGATCTCTACTGTAGGCCTAATTATCTCGGTTGAGCAAGACTTGTGCCCCAGTTTACAATAAATTTGTATTTATGCTGAATGCTGAATTGGACAAGTAATTCCAGTAAAAAAAAAGGTATGTGAAGAAAATGTAGAAAATTTCAAATGTAATTGTGGATAATAAGAACTTCAAAAGAGAAAGCCAAGTATTGCAGAAAAGGATCTACCAAAATTCTGTAAAATAGATGTGACAAACATTCTGAAAAAATATGCAAAACATGAATTTAAGAATATACAATTTAGCAGTATATTAAGGAAAAAAGATGTTAAAAGGCTGAGTTAATGACCTGCATTTTTCTTCTTCTAATTTTCTTTATAGAGCTTGAGAGGAGGGAACTGATCTTTAAACTGCATCAAAACAGTTTTCATGTATGTCAGTACTTACAAATTTGAGTGCCATGGATACAATTAGTAGTTTGATAATGAATAACGCTTCCAGCAAACTCATATAAAAAATAAATAACAACGAAGAGTCGGATTAAAAATCACTCAAGCGCCTACTGTATTATTATGGGTATAGAAAAAGGAAACATGTCAAGCCAACCCTCAGATGTGACCTGTTTAATAGGATCTAATAATCCTACTAATGCAACCCAAAACTTTTGATAGCGAGAAGAAATCCATTCAAATAATAGATAAACAGAATATAGAATCGTTGCTGAAAAAGAAATAAGCCGTGATGCTGAGAAGGCAGGCAAACTCCTAAAGGCATGGTGGCAAAGGCTCAAAATCAAGGTGGGAATTGAGGACTCATTTTGATACCGGAGTTAACCCAAGAATCACAACGGAATAATACTTTTATTGCTGAAAGTAAAAGGGGTTAAAAACAAAATAACAACAACATGACACAAAATTAGGGCGTAGGTCGAGGTGGTCGTGCTACAGTTGGAGAGGTTGGACTAGGTGAGGGTGGAAAGTTGGCTGCTAGTTAGTAGTAAGGAGAAAGGAGGTCTGGAGGTTTGGAGTTGCAGCGGGGACGGGGAGGGTTGTAAGGAAGCCTAGGGGTTGGGAGTGTTGGATGGTCTTTATGGTAATATGTGGTGAGGTTGGGGGATGTTTGTGCTGGCTGCAGAGGCTGGGGTAAGGCTACCAGCAGGGAAGCAAATAGATTGGGTGCTTAGCGATAGCTAGAGAAGGGGAATAGGTTGGCGGGAGAATCACGAGAAGGATGAGGGTGCAGGGAGGCAGGCGGCAAGCCAGAGAGGTGGTTGGGGGGATGGGGGTGAAAGGAGTAGCAAAAGCAAGCAGGAAATGACGGATACACACCAACTCAGAACAAGTTACAGCCGAAAAACCTTCTAATTGTTGGATACAACCCTAGAAGAAAAAAGGGGCATCAAAGGCTATCCTAACAGAAATATCAAAGCCAAAACTAAAATCTAAAACAGAAAATAACATTTTATAAGAAGATAACCAGAAGGGGAAAGCCCGTCCCCCTTGGGCGGCAACCCTAACCCAAAGTAGGGTTCAGCCTGCCCCCTTGCATCCACATGTTGAACCAGTCGCTTCAGCCTCCCCCGCTGCCTCGCGTCAGTCTCTCTGGATTGGGAGAGCTTTGATTTCATTCGTCAAAGATTATGTCTGCACGTTGACAATGACAGAGTTGTCGGAACATCCCGAGACTGAAGGATCTTCGACTGCGGTCCTAGTAGCCTCCACAGGAGTTTTCTCCACTTGCAGGTATCCATCCATATTGATCGAACCTTCTGGAGGTACACTCTTGACCTGAACTGAGGGCTTAATGTCACACATCATCTGTTGAGAAGATAGTTCTTAAATGGTTGCTTGAAGAATTGAATCTGAAGAAAAGTCCTTCGACTCCTTATAATTTCAGCAACGTAATGAATTAGAATTCCAAAAAAAATATCCTAGATACAATTCAGAAGAGAGTGAAGGATTTGAGGAAAAAACAAAAAGCAATGGGGAAATCTGGGACTCAAATTTCAGCAGGGAGGCTGTGATTGGTTTCTGAAATTAATATGGGAAGAGATCTTGTTGTTGAAATAATTGAACTCTGAAAATCCCTAGTACCCTTGGTTTAACTATTACAGTGAATACGAAAGTGGGGAGACGGTTCTTAATTGCGCTTGATGAAATAAGGTATTTAATCTCAGCGTTTCCAAGACAGGTTTTTTTTATCCAGAAAAGAGAAATAGAAAGATTACTCGAGATAAAGCTATCCCCGTCAAGCATATAAGATTACAGGAAATCTTGAAGAATAAAACAAAATAATAGATAAATAACTATGTTCCCACTATGGTGATTCTATGATCTACACTGCAAGTTTCATTTTCACCTTCCAACATGCTCTACCAGTAACTAATCGGTGAATCAAATAACAAAACCCTAATTCCTAAGCTATTCACAAAATCAGCACATGAATAGTAAAAGCAAAATTTCATTCAACAGAAGGAAACAAATAATATTTTGTCGCTGATTGCTAATCACGGATCCTCCAGGTGATCTAAAAAAGGTTTCCCTAACCATAAATGGTCAGAAGAATCCAACAAATCATCTAAAATAAAATCCACTAATATTCCACCGCAAACATGCCGCCAACAAAAATAAAGAATAAAAAAACCTCTAAATTCCCGCTCTTTCTCTTGCGTGATGGATCGGTAGAG